TTTTTTTTTTTTTTTTTTTTTTTTTTTTTTTTTTTTTTTTTTTTTTTTTTTTTTGACATTCGAAAAGAAGAAGATTCCCAAGAAAGATGGATTATCTTCATTCTATACCTCACTAAAAACTTGATTTTCCCCTTTCTAATTTTTAAAAATAATAATAAAAAAAGACCTTTTTTTTTCTCTAAATTTTCAATTTAATTTCTTTACTAAATAATAATAGTAATAAAAAAAGGACGCGGACAGATCGGGACAGATTCTTAGGCTACGTGTCCCTCTTAAGGTCCACCACCACGACGCTCACGTTGTCCGTACTGTGCCTGGCTAACGCCAGCTTCGTCAGCAGTATCGACGCATCGTTGCAGGCCTTGTCCGCCCTCTCCGTCCCCACCCTTTCCACCGCCGTCTCCACCGCCACAGGCGGCGACCCTGGCGACCGAGCCTCTGTCTTTCCCCGAAGACACATGCTCGCAACTCCGCACGCCGTCTCGTTTGGAACCACATCCCAAAGCCCATCGCTCGCCAGAATTAGGCACTCGTCCTCTGCCGTCCGATCTGTTATCGTCACCTCCGGCTCCGATATCACATACGGTTTCAGATAGTTATCGCCTGAGGAAGTTTCAAATTGGAGTTAGTTGATTTGTTACAACAAGTCAACGCCGGTCGAGAAACCGGTGAGTTATCGGCGATTTGTTTGTTACCTATGGCTCTTGACATGGCGAGAACTCCGAGGACTCTTGGTCCGTCCCAATAGATCACACGGCCGCCGGCTTCCTCGATCCGGTTTAGCTCGTCGGGCCGATCCGGCTGTCAGATTTACAAAATCGAATCAGAAATAGGGATACGGAATTAAAGACCGAAGGATTGACTAATTAGCCCTAATCGATTCAAAATTTGACAAATCTGAGCACATACCTTGTGATCGGAGGAGAGAGGAACGGCCTTCCCGTTGCGACAAAGAACGGCTCTGGAATCGCCGCAGTTAGCAACGATGATCTTATTCGCCGTCACAACTGCAACGACAGCGGTGGATCCAACGGCATCACAGTCCGGGGACTGCAGTTCGCATCTACAATTCGCAACCACAATTTCTTCATTGTTTCGCGCCACAACCTCGTTGTCCATTCGGCGGAAGATTCTCTTCATGGCGCCGTCCCACCTCGAGGCTTCCGCCGCGGCGGAAGACTCTTCTTTCACTTCCCGATCTAACTCCTCTTTGACGAGCTCGTGCAGTCGATCCTTACACCTCATCGCCACCTAATACCGTCAGAAAAACCGCCCATAAGTACCCCAAAAATTCGGCAAAAAAGGAGGAATTCAATTACCTAATTATTTAGTTCCAAGTTGTTAATTCTTTATCTTAAACTTCAATTTAAACAACGAAATGGCGAGGAAGTAATTAAGGATCTTACATGAGAGCAGCCATGGCCGTCGTAAACACCGAACAAGTGCACCTTATCGGTGGCTTCCTTGTCTGTAAAACAAAGCGATGGATGAACGGCCACCGCGTCTTCCATATCTCTCCGTCTTCCACAAACAGAAGAGAATCCAAACTTCGGAATCTCTACGCCTAAAGGAATGATAGGAGATTCCCGATGCAGAGGTGTCGACACCTCCTTCGGAACTTCTCCGGCCACAAAACTCCCGACAGTCTCTTCTTCCCCGGAATCACAGTTCTCAACTGCGTTATCACAGTCTCTGGAAAGCGACGCCGATCGATCCTCCAGCTTCTGTCGCTTCGCAACAGTATCAGTCTCCGACGGAGCAACTCCGGCAACAAATTTACACCTCCTGATCTCCATTCTCCGACGTCTAGCCACTCGCGAGCTCGGCTCACAGGACGACGACGCCTCACTCTCACCTATCACTTTACAGCAAATCTCCGCCATTACCAATGAAACAATACAATTTCCGTTACTTCCCCTAATTTCTCTTTCCTTTCCCTTCTCAATCCTCCCCCAGCCACCACAAACAAAAACTCAAATCTCCGCAATCGATTACTCCAATCTCTGAACACGCCGGCAACGACGACGGACGACGGAATTCGAAAACGAGCAGATGAAAGAGAAGAGTGGTTCGGCGGAGGGAGACGCTTTAAAAGGAAGACAGAGCTCGATATTGAAAATTTCCTAGGGAGGACGGTCAGGGCGGGTAAGTACCCGAGGGAAGAAACGGGCAGATCGAAGTTGTAGAACAAATCTGAAGCGTTGATTATGGAGTGTGAATTGATCAGAAAAGGACACGCGTATATTTAGTTCGGAAGATGGTAGAGACGTGGACCAATGAAATCAAAGCAACGCAACAAGAGAGAGACTTTCTTTTTGACACGCATGTGGTCCTTGGTGTACGCTCTGAGGGCGTCTCCATTTTTCTTTTTTAAATAATCATAATTATTAATTTTCTATTTACAGACATGGGTTCGCGCCACGTGTCGATATCATTTCAAACGAGAAGAAGAAAAAAAAAAGAAAAAGAAAAAAAAAAGATTTTATTTTATTTTTTTGCTTTTTATTCCTCTAGCTTTTGATAACCAATGAGAGAGAGATACGTGTTTAGACGTGGGTCCCATATGTCTGGCATATAAGAAAAAAATATCTGGAAAACAGGGGAAGAAGGGGGGCGGTTTTGTTTTACGATACTGAAACGTGGCGCATTCTCGCGTACTCTTTCCCGACCCGACCCGGTTGTCACGCGGGACACGTTTCATCCACACCCCCCCCCACCACCCCAATTATCCCTTAAAATATAACATTAAATTCTAAATAACTACGTGGAAAATTAAATTTAAATAATTAATGATAATTAAACTATTAAATAAATAATAAAAACGTCTTAAATTAAATTTCTTCCAAATTCATGAACCAAATATTTTATTTTATTTTATTTTGGTATATTAAAAAATAAATAAATAAAAGGGTAAAGAATGACGAAAATACCTTGAAAATGGTAGGCAGGGAAAAGGGAGGTGGGCCAGGGGGGAATGAGTAGGCAACAGAAAGGAAATCACGGAAGAGGAGATTATGTTGGGGGCGTGTCGATATGTGATTGGAGGAGCGGTGGTGGGACCGGTTAGTTAAAATTAAAAACGGAAGTTGGGGAAGCGAGGGGCCTCCACGTGGAAAGGAGGTGGGGACAGACAGACAGAGAGAGAGAGGGTCTTTTTTTTGGTTTCGGGTACCGGGGTTGACGTGGACATTTCATTTCAAAAAAATTCCACGTGATTAATAAGACAAATATTTATTAAAAACTCTACAATTTCATGACACGCATCCCTACCCCCCTCTATTCCCCTTTTTTCCCTTTTCCAAATATCATTTATTATTATTTCAATATTAAAATATCAAAATTATTTCCATTAAAATCTAAATTTTTATATTAAATTCAAATTAATCTTTTTTTTTTTAAATAAAATACGTAATATTTTAATTTTGAAATTAAAGTATTATTATTAATAAAGAAAAATAAAAGTGCATTTAAGGGTCAGCGTCAAAATGTGTATAGCATTTGATTTCTTGAGTCACACCCTTTTATCCCAATGATTCAAGCCTCCTATTATTAACACTTCTCAATTTTTCACTCAACCTCCCACCTAATAACAATATCCGATATTAATAAAACACTCGTATATATTATGTTCGTGAATAACATTTAGAAAAAATATATCTTTAATTCATGAAATTTAAATTTCAGGGCATTCGAGTATTTGAATAAATTCAATAATTTAAATTTTATGATAATTATTAACATAAAATGAAAAATAAAAAGGATAAATTTTATTTTGAAAAATTTTATGAAAAAATATCATAATTGTATTATTTTTTAAAAATTTTATTTTTTCTCTCTCCGTTGTTATCCTTTCTCTTTGTGGTAATAATGAGTAAAAATTATTTGCTATTAATTATTTACAGAATAAAAAAATTATTTTTTTAGATACAAATTAAAAAATTTAATATCCATATAACAGAAAGATTAAAAAGATTAAAAAATTATATTTAACAAAATACTACTTCCAGTGGCTAATATTTCTTTAGAGATTGATCATAAACCCGAAGTGTTTTCCGGCGGCCGAAAGTGGAGAAGTAGGTAGAAGTGGAGTTCCGGTACGGCGGCGACACGAGGCGGAGAGGGGCGGCCACGTAGAGTAAGAGGAAGAAAAGAGAGGGACGGTGGCGTAGAAAGCCTGACGAAAGGAAGAAAATGGGATACGTGGGGGGACGGCGCGGCGCATGGAGGGCAAATTGCGCGGCGGCGTAGGTTTCAGTGCGTGGCGGTGGGAATTGTGCTGCAGGCGGCAGAGCCAGATTTTACGGGGTTTTCCAAACACAACTGTACCGCACTACCACGATTTCCTCCCCTTATTATCTCTCTTTTTCTCTTACCGTTTTGCCCCTCCATATCATAGCCAAACATTCATTATTACAAGGGTTAAATTGTAAATTCCACTTAAGGACTCCCTAAATTTTAAAATATAAATCTCAATTTAATCGTTAGGGCATGCTTTGCGCATAAATTCTCATGACTTTGGGTTGAGTTTTCCCAAAATATCTCGTACCAATGAAGAGTATTATTTGATTATAAACTCATAATTATTCTCTAAATTAACAGACGTGGGGCTTTCATCCATACTTTAACATATTTTATTACTCATTCAAATTTTTATAAATATATTCATTTTGGTTTTTATTATTAAAATTTATATTATATTTGACAAATATTCCTTATTTTTTTCCTCTAAATATAATATCAAACATGATTGCACCAATACCATGTATATAATTTAAAATTTTAATGAGAATAAATTTAAAATCTAAATAGCATAAAAATTAAGTAAAAAGAATTAGAATTAAATTTATTATTAGAGTTTACTAAATTTATTTTTTTTTTAAATGTTTCATTTTTTTAAAAAGACCTAGATTGCATTATTTATTAAAAGTCTTATCCACTCCATATGTTTCTTTATGATGACAAGGCACCAGCTAGATGCTCTCGAGTCTTTTTCAAATTTTATTTATTTTTAATTCAAATAATCATAACTCTCCTTTAAAAAAAATTAATAAATAAGAAAAGAATAAATTAAAAAAACCATTATTAAATTTTATTCTAACCCTAATCTTTTAAAAATTTCAATAAATATTTAAATTTAAAATATCTTTAAATTAAAAAAAATTAAAAATACTATTACTACCGTTAATTTTTCATAGGGTTTCAAAAATAGCTTATTACAAATTTTTTAAACTTTTTTAAAAAAATTAAAAAATATTTTTATCCTCAATGTACGTTCTAAAAATACACATGAATTTTCAGAAGTAATAAAATATTTGAAGATAAATCTAATAAATGATTTTCCGCTAAGAGTTTTTTAAACTTTTTTTTATAAAGAGGGTTAATTCTACATATTTTTTAACTTTTTAAAAAATTAAATGGTTTTAACCCACTTTTATTTTTGAAACATTATTAAATGTTTGAATATTTTTAAAATAAAATATAAACTATTTTCATTAAAAATTAATTGTAAAAATATTTTCGGTTAGAGAGACAGAAAGTTTAGGCATATTTTTATTAATTTAGTTGCTTAAATTTTGTTATTATTATTATTTTCATGCATTATTTGGCTCATTTTTTCCCAGTTTTAGGAAAATCTTGCAAACTTCCAATGGTTTTACGAGGTTAAATTGGTCATTTTACACTACATCGATGTGTTTCTTTGATTAAATTTTCCTTCAATAATAAATACCGATCACGAGAGCCCAGTATTTTTGTTATGTTATTTAATTTTTTTTTATTTTTAACCGTTAAAATAAATGTCAGTAAATAGGTAATTTATTTACTTAATAATTGATTGTCAAAATAAATTAAATAATATTTAAAAAGTATTATCGATTTATTATAATTAAATGATTAATTATAATAATTTTGTAAACTAAGATGAATTAATTAATTAAATTTATTCTTAAAATAATATGAAATAAGATATGGAGTGTTATAAAAAATATTTTTTAAAATTAGATAATTAATTTATTTTTATTAAGTGAAATTATTAAAATAATTTATCGCCGTTAATATTAATAATTTTTTAAACAAATTATTTATAAGAAGATTTAAAAGAAAAAACAATAAATATATATAATTAAAAAAAAATCCAAGCAAAAATTTAAATTCTTCCCCCAAATGAGTAAAAAATTCATCTTTTTCTAGAAACAAACGCCCCTCGAGCCTTCAAGTCCTCATGAATTTTAAAAAACGTTAAATAGATTAATAATGGATTTAATTCAAAATTAAAATTAAAGATTTATTAGATTTTTTCTTTTTAATGTTTAAGGATTAAATAAACACAAACCTAAATATTTTCTTAAAAATAAACGAAATAGACCTAAATTTTAAGAGGGTTTATATGATCTGATAATTCGACCAATTCGAATTACCCAACCCAAACCCATAACGGTGGACTGTGTTTAGATTTGGTGACCAACTTAACCAACTTGAAATTTTGAGTTGATCTAAAAAATTTTACGAACCCAATTCATATATACTCGAATGAATTTAAACTATGTTGGATAATGGAAGTCCCATATCGGCTAATTTAGGAAATGATGATGGGTTTATAAGTGAGGAATACTAACGCCATTGGTACGAGGCCTTTTGAAGAAGTCTAAAGTAAAGCCATGAGAGTTTATGTATAAAGTGGACAATATCGTACCATTGTGGAGAGTCGTGTTGGTCTAACAAACTATATTATATTTTAGGTTATTTTGATTCAAACATATGTCACTAGCCGCCCCATTGGCCGCCCCCCCATGGCATTGAAGTGACCAATTCCTTTCCAAACAATTCATAAATTTTTGGTATTCTTTTGTTAACCCAAAACGACGTGCATACGTCTTTATCTCCTTATATTTTATGTCGTTTTAAGCGTTGACGAAATTTGAACGATATGTCGTTTTCATCGCCAAAGTTTCGGAGTACAAAGAAAAAATCAAAACGACAATCGTGAACATCACGCTCCCACAACTCGAATGACTCTCAAAACTGTAAATTGCAGAGGATTCTCACTCGCTTCGAGGCGCGTCAGACCTTTTCCCCGTTTTGCTTAGTTGGGCGGCAACGAAACGCAACGATCAAACCATTATATTCCTTTTTATTTTGTATAATTTTCAAATTAAAGAAATGTTACAGACAGAAAGTTTCGTCCATCTCTACCAAATC